GAGCACAGCGGGAGGGTACGTCAGCGTGTGGACATCGCGCGCATGAGGCGCGGGCGCGGGTGTGCGCGGGGTTGGCGGCCGGAACACGGCCCAGCACACGGGACCGGGGGGATCGACGCATCTGGGCGCATGCCCCCGGGGGGGGGGGGGGGGGGGGGGGGCCACCACAGGCTGACAGACAGGCATGCACGCGCGCACACGCACCTTGATCGTGTGGACCAACGCCACAGAGGCCTTGGAGATGCCCAAGGCCGAGAACATGTGGCCAACCACATTGAAGGCCGTCAGCGGGAGGATGACGAAAAAGAGCGTCTGCCGGTTGGGAATGGCCAGGAGCAGGCGGTCATCGGCGACCACGGCCGACGGGGTCGGGGGCTGGCGATGGCCGGTCCCGGGCCCGGGCAGGCCGGCCCCCTGCTGGTACCCATGGTGAGGGTGGTGGTGGTGCCCAGCCGAGGGGTAGTGTTGGTGGTGGTGGTGGTGGTGGTGGTGGAGGTGGTACGGCGGGGGCAGCAGGCCGCTGGCCGAGGGCGGCGGCACGGAAAACTCCTCGGTGTTCAGCGGGCAGAAGGCGCCGCCAGGCTGCTCTTGGTCCGTGGCGGTCATGGGGGGGGGAAGCCCGGCGGTGGCCATGGCAACCGAGGATGAGGACATGGGTGGGTCGTCCTTGGCCCGGACCGGCGGCGCGACCGGCCGCATGCCGGAGCCGCGTTGTGAAAAGGGAAAGGCAAAGCCCCAGCCGCCGGTCTTGGCCACAAGGGCATTGAAGAGGTAGGCTGAGAGGGGACCAGCCGGGGCCCCGGAAAAAGGGGCAGCCAGGGGGAGCCGCAGGGGGGCGGGGGATGGGGCCCAGGCGCATGTCAGTCGGGAGGTCGCGACAAAGGGGGCAGGAGGGGGCACGCGCCAGGCCTCGCGCGGAGAGCCGGGCCCCCAGGCCCGTCCTTCGGGAAGAGGGCAAAACACCAAAACCAGGGCGCAGCTTGCCATGACGCACCGAAGATCGGCATGTAGATGGCGCCCAGGGTGAACTGGCACACGGTCAGGGTGACTGGCCGCGGGTACATTGTGAGGATCTTCTTGCCCGTGTGGTTGGTCAGGGTACTCGAGGAGTACCTACATGCGCGCACGTGGAGGAGGACCAGGGCACGCGAGCATGGGGCAGCAAAAAGAAAGGGAGAAAGAGAGAAAGAAAGCAGGCAACCGGCCCGTCAGTGGCTGTGCGCAGGCGGAGGGTGGGCGAATGCCGTGGCACACAAAAGGCGGCCCGAGAGCCCTCTGTGCGTGTGAGCGGGGGGGGGGGGGGGGACGGTGCGCACCAGCAGATGATGATTGCCAAGAGCTTGAGCATATCGGCCACCTTGGGCGAAACAAGCTTCATAGAGGGGGGGGGGGGGACGGTTGTTGACATGCGACTGGTCAGCGCGGGACCGAGGACCCAAAGGGAAGCCGGGGCACCGTCCCCCGTGCACGGCGCCGCGAGTGCGCGCGCGTCTTTCGGGCGTGTGTGTGTGTGTGTGTGCGCGCGCGAGCGATTGCGCATGACCACGTACCCGCCCAGCTGAGCCGGACACCACACTGCCGGTGGCCGAGAGGCCCTTCTTCAGGGTGCGCTTGGCACGCGAGACAAAGGGCAGCGACAGGGCACGACTGCTGAGCTTGCGCGTCCAGCGGGGCGCCTGCCACCGGGGCCCGGGCGCGCGACTGCGCAGGGTCGACGTCGAGTCGGCCGGCGCCGGGCGCATGGTGCTAGACGTCCCGAAGAGCGAGCCGAACTTGAAGAAGCGCCGACCATCCTCGCCGCCGGGGTCTGGGAGTGGGTGTGCATGTCCATCGACAGGGAGCATGGCGCATGCGCAAGCGCGAGGGGAGTGTCAGTATCCGGCCGCGCGCTGGGGGGCCATGTACACCGAGAACGAGGGAGGGACACATGCTTGCTTGCTTGCTTGCTTGCTTGCTTGCACGGCAGCATGAGCCGTGCGCGCCCCGGCCCCAGCTCCCCCGGCCCGGCCCCGGGTGGTCCCAAGAGACGGGGGCCCACATGTGCGCGCATCTGTCCAAGCGCATGTGCATCTATTGGTGTTCATGTGTATCGGCAGCATGTGGGCATGTGGGCGGAGGTGTGTGCGCGTGCGGGCGCACGCGGGTGCAGCATGGCGCGCGCTGGCATGCATGCCCGCGGGTGTGTGCGCGCGTGTGTGCGTGCGCGTCTGTCTATGTGCTTGTACGTACCGCTTCCGCGCCGGGGCCCGGGCTCGCTGTCCACCCCGGCAAAGTGGATGTGCGCCGGGACCAAGCCGGCCATGGGCAACTCGATCGACGAGCTGCCGGATGCCGCCAGGTGGTGGTGCGGGTGGTGCGGGTGATAGTCCTCCTTGGAGGCCGCCGGGGGTCCGCCATGGTGGTGGTGGTGGTGGTGGTGAAGGTTTTGGATGCTCGGTGACCGAGGGGTCGGCTGGCAGAAGGCACTGGCACCGTGGAACAGGTCGGACGAGTGGGCAGCCGCAGTCGCCGCACCGAGGCCCCCTCGGCTCGGGCCTGACTCGGCCAGCAGCAGTGGCGACCCGAGGGCAGACCCGGGGCCGCCGCCGCCGCCGCCGCCGCCGCCGCCGCCGGAGCCACATGCAGCAGACAGGCGCGGCGAGTCGGGGCCACGGCCGCGGCCCAAGGACACCCGGGCCACCGGCGACGAGGGCTCCGGCGAGCCCGGCAGGCCGGACAGCCCACTGAGCGACAGGGTGGCGGGCCGGGGCGACGCCTCAGCCGGGGACATCAGCACTTCAGAGCGCCGGGCAGCGTGGAGACTGTCTGCTTCGCGCATGGTGACAGGCGCGTCTGTTGCCGGCCGGCCGGCATTGAGGGGCGGACATGGGGGCCGTGGTGGGTGGAGGTGATGCGGGGAATGGCCATTAGCACCGTGCAGCGAGAGGCGGGATGAGGCAGAGGCGTTGCCGCCGGCGGTGCTGGCGTCACTGCCACCGCCACTGCCACCAGCGTCACCGCCGCCACGGTCCTGGTCGAGGTGGTGGTGTAGATGGTGGAGATGGTGGTGGTGGTGGTGGTGGAAGCTCGAAAGGAAGGGTGACTCGACAGCGCCCGGGGGAGGCGGCGGTGGCGGGGGCATTCTCTGGCCGGAGGAGGGGGC